AAATACATTATTACTTACCGGACACGAAGAAAATATATTCTAATAGATCTGAAGAGCTCTTTTTTTATCCTTAGGCATATTTTACAGTTAAACGACGGTAATAAAATAGTTAGAAGTTCTGTTTTACAATAAGTAAACTGTTCAGCTAATTCGAGTTTTAATCTTATCTACTAGTCATGACGGCCGTCTTCAGTAATTTTTTGCTTACGTGGGCTGTGCAAAAAAGACACATGGGTTTCCTAACGAAGGTGTTTCCCGATCCTTAACCGTTAATGAACGGTGTCATTTCTAAACTTGGTTTAACTAACCGAGGAAGGAATGTTATGGGAAGAAACTAGATTTAACTGATACACTGAAAACATCCACTGAACCAAGTTTAGAAATGACACCGTTCACACGATCTAAACAAGTTCATTAACGGTTAAGGATCGGGAAACACCTTCGTTAGGAAACCCATGTGTCTTTTTTGCACAGCCCAGGTAAGCAAAAAATTACTGAAGACGGCCGTCATGACTAGTCCGAAATGTCCGTATAACCCATCTAGACTAGNGGTGTTTTTTTAGCCCCCCCCACCAGCTCAAAAAAAAATATCCGCGCCGCGGGCCGGGAATGACTAGTCCGAAATGTCCGTATATCCCGTCAGAACTAGTCTGGGACGTCCCTTTCGCTCGTCATGACTAGTCCAGTTTTTAACAAATGTCTGTATAACCGGTCTAGACTGGTCCGGAGTGTCTCATGACCAGTCTGTTTTGTCCGCTATACCCGTCTAGACTAGTCCAAAGAAAAAAAAGATGACATGAATAATTCCATAGTCTTAGTTCGAACCATTACACCGTTTGCGCAAAGAAAGTGACGCCGGGACCGGACGGACGTCTGGTACATTGCTCTAGACAAATAAGATTGTGCCCGTCAACAAGCACTTTTTGATTAGGGAAAATAATGTACGGTTCGGTTATAGGTAGAAGGATATGTCGCATTTTGTAGAGCGCATAATTCTCTATACGATAGAGTAATTTACAATGTTACCAATGATAGATTCATGAAGAAACTTAGACACCAAATGCAGCCGGTAGCAAGAAATTGGACAAATTGTCCTAATAATTTCAATTTTTCCACCAGAAAGATGTGAGTTTGAAACAGAAGCGAGGTGATATTTGGAATCCGCGTGAAAACCGAACTGAACGATGCATATTACAGGGAATTTTGACCAAAGAATTTTTTCGAAAACTTTCCCCTTGGCTCAACCATGCAACCATGGACTAAAATTCTTAAAACGAGTTCTTTTGCTCAGAACTATTTATTCGGAAGTTATGATAAGGTTGCTACGAAGACCTAAATTCTTAAAAAGCCTCAGCGAAATATTCCTCACGTATACTAAAAACTAGCATGCATAAACTGATAGCGCAATGACTCAGTTGGTTCAATCGCAGGTATGTAAAACAAAGTGTCGCATGTTCACTTCTAACCTATTTCTGTATCTTTCTTTCATTTAGACTAGTCCACACGTCGTCAGTATATAGCTTGGCAGATTAGTCAGCGACACTACTACGGACGGTTTTCTTTTAAGTAACCGTTAAAATTCTGGACTAGTCATGACGGGGTCGTTTTTGTCGTAAAGACTACTCGGGACGGTCGTCCGGACTAGGAAAAAAGACTAGTCATTTCACCCGTCTTTTGCTTACCTGGGAGCTGAATGCACTTGCTTTATTATGTTAATACTTCAAGTTTTATTATTTACTGATCTCTCATAATTCACTCGTCACATGTGAATAAGAATTTAGTATGATGGGCTATTTGATGCCTGGTTGGCTGACTCTATCAACTGAGCGTACTGAGTTATAGAAATTCGGTTAATAACCAAGCTCGCAAGTTCCTAAACTGAATTGTTAGATTAGTGTAACCCACGAAGTGTAGAAAAAAGAAATAGAGTTCCTTCTTTTTTATTTGCAACTGTTCTAAATCTGATGGACAACCGAGCGCAATGACTCCCAGTGTGTAACGAAATATAACCTATTCTTCCACTGGCTAATCACTATCCCTTTCTTCCAACCATAATTCATCATCTCTCTCATCGTGTGTCGTATTCATTCACTCTCTCTTTGTATGTGTTCAATATCTCTATCTCTCTATTGTTAATATTTCTATCACTCTCCTTTTGTCTTCATCACTATATATACTAGGGGAACAAATTAAATGTTCGGTATTTTTTTGTAAACGCTCAGTATAATTTATTGCTCAGTATTATGTACAAAATTATCAGAAAATAAATCAGACTATCAGTATAAAATTTCGTGTTCGATAACTATCATGTCTGCTCAGTAAATTAATAATTTGTGTGTGTGGGATGGAGTGGCGAGTGTGGAGTTTGGCTGTAGCTGTGGGCTCGAGTGCGGGGTGAGGGTGAACCGTGGAAAAACCACTTCGGAATCGTGTTTTCTTTAATACTCAAATAGGTGGGGTCTTTAATCTCAACAATTCAATAGTGAAAATTTCTCAAAATATATTTAAAATTTTCATATCTGTCTGATGATTAACGGTTGCGGTTCCACATGATATTTTGGGAACCGTTATTTCTCATTTGTAGTAACAGGAACTGGAGCTGGAAACGTGGTTCCGGGTAATTTTCGCGGACACTAAGCTATACAGGAAGGCACACACCACACCCTTAATACTAAATCTTTTTAAATTAATTACTCAGCTTTTCAAACTATTTACTGAGCAAAAAATACTGAGCATTCGTTGTAAAATACTGAGCAACTCAATACATGCCTATATACTAGTATTTGCTCGAAGCTCGTTTTTTTCCTGCTTTTGTATCACATAGAGCCGGGCAAGTCAGGACTTTTTCAACTTTCAGTCAACGAAAAGATTCTGTAAGTCAGTCAAGTGAGAGAACCCAAAAAAATTCAAAGTCAAGTCTGACTTGAGTTGACTTGGAATTGAGGCATTTTTGACTTGACTTGCTGAGCACTGCATGTAAAATTACTCTACTTAGATCTTTAATATCATTTCTTTGCATTAAATATTCGAAAAAATACACTTTTAAAATGACGTAAGAGACAGCCAAAATTAGAAGTTAGACAGAATATCCGGAAAACCTTTTACCAAGTTAAGCCTGACTTGACTTGTCCAGCTCTGGTACCACGTTCATTGAAGCGTAAGAAAATACACGTACTGGTAAATGATTCTAATTAAATATTGAATTTTTCTGCATGGGCCGTAGAGATCAAATGGAGAAATCTGTCTGTAATGTACTTGCGGTTACTACCGATATACAGTCGTCAAGGTAGAACTTTACAAGAATACATAAAACCGGCTAGCTAAGATTTATAATTACAAAAGGGCTTATTGAAGAAATTGAGAGGTAGCCGAAATATGATCATCAGGTCTGTACGAAATCACTTTTGACAGGGTTTAATACGAAACCAGGTGTACGAAACCTTTTTCGTTAATACAAAAATAGAGGTTTCGTAGCTGAACGCCAGAACCCAGGTTCGTACGAAACTTGAAAGGGTATAGAAATGGTTGCAATTCTCTTTACCCTTTTAGGTTTCGTACTGAACCATTTTTTTTTTAGAGGGTAGGTAATAGCAGCTGCTATTATCGTTGTTTATAACATTTTTTTAATTTCTCTTCTCTTTATAGTACAAATAATGGGCCAAGCTCTAAAACATTTTTCTCAACCACAAGAAAAAGAACAACAGCAACAGCACCAAGACGATGATCTTACAAAACTACCATCACCTCTTCTTTCTCAACTTCCGGATGAAAGACTTCTGTATAACATATTTCCATATTTAACATATTTGGATTTATGTCATCTTTCACAAATTAATAAATATTTTAAAAATCTAATTGAATTAGAAGACGTGGATCATTTATGACGGCATGCTATTAAAACAGAAATGTTAGGTATGTGCTTAAGTGTGAACTCCGAGACGTATGCCTCGTTAAAACTACTTACATTGAAAAGCTTTTTTCTGCTCTGTTTCAGAACGTTATTTAGCAGGACCTTATGCAGTAAAATATCTAGATGTTGATCGAATAGTTACGATTGGTATTAGACCAGGTGAGTGTGTGTATTATCTGCAACAGCAAACTGCTCATAGTTTCGTTTTTTCGTATCTAAGTATAGATGATTATATTTGGAACGTCCAAGATAAAATTTATCACGCATTTGGTAATTTAACTGAATTATTACCGAAGAATCAAATTCTACGTTTAAGTGATAATGGTGAACCATTAATTTATAGTGCCATCTTTCTATCCTATAAAGACAGAATCGATAATAATCAAGCAATAATCACAGTTCAATCAATTAATGCTGATGCTTCTGCTGATAATATAAGTAAGTTCGATTTTAATTGGTTTGGCTTTTTGATGAGAGCGACATATTTTTTCTACCGGTTAGCAAGCGACGGCTATCCTATTGGTAATGAAGATTATCAACCAACTGCCGAATTCGAAAATAAAAAATTAAAATTTCAATGTTTATTTGAAAAACGTAGACGAGAGGTGGATACAGGTTCATGGACATTGGAATGGAATGTGAGGAGAACATGTAGTGCAAGGAGTTGGCATAAAAAGTTATACTCTAAATATATTATACCTCGTCCATCAACAGATCCAATAAAAAAGGAAAAGGAAAATCATAAATTATGTAAGTTAAGTAGTGTTGATTCTGAGCCATGTCACACTGCAATTCTCGAGCTGCATACATTTGGAGGACTATAATTTTTTCTCAACATAGCCTTTGAAGTAGACACGCAAACACTGAAGCTGTGGAACTGCTGTTACCTGTTTTTGCTCGGAGGACCTCTTTCCAACGGTTGATTCTACAGAGTAAAATGTTGCAGAATCAATGGTCTTTATATCACAAATTATAGATGGCATTTTTCGTAGGGGAAAATAAGTATTTACCGTTTGTAATGACGAAGAGAGCATTTTCAAAAATCAAGAGGATGAAACTTATAGAACTTTAATCTGTTGCACATTGTTTGTCTCTAGACTCAACTTTAGGGAACGCTTTCTTTATGGTAGAAAACCGTTGGTTAGAGGAAAATTCCTGCATCAGCGTTAGTTTTTATGTGCTATTTCGCCACAAACCTAGAAACTTGATTCTAAAGACTACATTTACGGAAAATTCAATTCTCTACATGTTATCTTCTGGAGTCGACTTTTGAGAACACATATTCATCGTGAAATACAGTAAAAAGACGTTTTTTTTTACGACATTGACTAGAATGAATTAAGTTTATATATTAATTTAAGAATAAAATTATATTTTATTTTAATTACCTAATAACAAGTCGTCGACAAACAGCTGATATTCAGTCTGTTATTTTCGATGTTGTTTCAATTGAACTAAATACAATTGTTACATTATGACATTTTCGAATTTCAACACATCTAAAATGAACATTAATTTTTCATCTATTTAACCTACTCAAGATTTATTACCGAAGTGGTGCATGAATATAAGTATAGGAATAACTACAACGGTGAATACGAAATTCAGCCATAAATACATTTGGCAAATGCTAAAAACAAAACAACGTGAATCTTAAAATGAATAGTTCAGATATTTGTTTTCGTACTTGTTTATTCAACGATCGATTAATCATTGTCATAAGAACAAAACGATGTCTAGAGAAATACAGAGGAGAATCATTAAAACAATTTATATGTATCATTGTATCCAACTTACTGTTCATCCGCAAAATTTTAATTACACAATACTCTTTCCGATCGTTGTTCAGGAGTTGGATCTTAACAAAATGAAATGTTCTTAAATAAATCAGTAAAATTTGAATTATTACTTACTGTCGAATGCAACGGTAATAATGTGCCTAATTTCATTGTTTGTCCAACTAACTAATAAATAATAATTATGGTCATTCAACGACAACTTCGGCTGTGATTCTGATAAAATTGGGGGCATCCATTGATTTTCAACTTCGTATTGATCAGTTTGAGACAGAAATGATGTGATTTGTCGAAGACTTTGTGGCTGGTGATGACGATGATGGTTTTAAAATAAAATTATCAAGTGTTTTAAACGGCTTTTTCGGTGTTTTCTCGTTCGTTTTCTATCTAAAAGTAAACCGCTTAATAGCAAGTGGTCAAATGCTATTCTTTTTCTTTATATCCTTACAAAACTCAAAGAGTATTTATTTTCCCAGTGCGTACTGTACGGTCTGGAAACAAGCACAAAGCGTATATCAGAGCGTATTTTGAATTTAGTTCGCGTACCGTACGCTTTGAAACAAAGGCATACGCGTAATGTTAGAAACACTGCTACTAATCATTGTAAGAAGTTACCTGTCAAAAATGGCCGCCGATAAGATTTTTTCTTTTCTTTCTCACTGTTTGTTGAATAAAAATTCATGCAATGTCTACGCAGCAGAATAGATGTCGCATGATACCGAACATGATCTTTGAGCGCAGATATTGCAAGTAGTAAAAAGCATCTTATATTTGAAGTAATATCTTCGTGTGAACGGAAGACTTACATTACCAAGAAATCTTGGAGTTTATTCATCATCAATAAAACCCTATCCATTGACACTAATTTCCATTCAACCATTTGCTTGTATAGACGGTTCATTCCTGCGATAACATTCGACGGAATTGTA